CCTAGAAAACTTCAATTGGAATTTTTAATGAAATAAAACTCATTTTAGTGATTGACTAGGTAAGGGCTTTGAAATCCCAGCTTATGAGAAAAATCGAATCTTCGAAGTAAAATCAGTGGTCGGTTCTTACATAGACAGCCTCTTAAATAACCACGCATCCCTACTCAACAAACAACTTAGTCATGTAAGCTTATATTGCTGCTTCCATTTTAAAGCACGCTTATTTTGAAGTGACTGTTTTGTTTATTTTTTTTTTGACTATTTGTTTTCTTGTTCGTTTTTATGACTTTTTGTTTGTTTGTTTGTTTGTTTGTTTGTTTGTTTGTTTGCTCGTGCTTTTTCTGTCTTTTATGACCTATTTGTCAATCACAAAATCTGCAATTTAAGTGCATTTTTAAAAGAAACAAATAAGGTTACAATCTCCCGTTTTCTGATCGTGCGCCCCGACAGGAATCACATTGGTTAATTTTCTGATAACAGGGTTCACTATGCATGATGATACTATGTTAAGGGCTATGGGAGTCATAATGGTGTATCGTACATACCCACACAGCTTGTGGGATTTCCAGACCAGGATTTATCAAGCTGACAAACACGTTCCTTGCAACCCTTCAAACTGTATCCGGCCTGGCATGCAAAGGTACAACGAGTGTTGTACTGAAGGGATGGAGACGTGCAAACGCCAGAGGGAGGGTCTGCAAATGCCACGGACAGAGCAGGGCACCTGATGACTGTAGGATTTCAAATGAAAAACACAAACATGTGATCTTGTAATATATCAAACACGAAAGACCGTGTTTGACCACATTTCGAAACATCAAGAAGAGAGTTGAAAATACGACGTGCAGCGGAGTATTTTTGACGAGCTAGAACTAAAGAGAAAACGGAGAAAGAAAATCGAAGAAATCTCTGCTAGTTAAGGATGGTGTCTACTAAACACAACTTTTTTTGCACCAGATTAGGACCTTGCGGAAAAAAGAAGATCTTTGCAAAAGTTACTGAAATCCACTAAGAGAAATGGGGGTGACCACGCAATTTTTTGAGATATTTAGCCTTGAATCTCAACAAAAATGCTGACATCAGCATTTTTTCTGAAAAAGAAGGAATTTCTTCACAGATTTCCTTATAATGCGCCCTTACATACAGAAAAGCAGACACGTTTATAAAGATTTTAAGACTACATGGTAAATGGTATCATAAAAACCATTTTTCAGTGGTATGTTTTTAATAACAAAATCGTTGCAACAACGCTTTTAGCGTCCTAACAGCCTTCCTTTTGTTCAGCTAAAGTACAGTCTAAATAGCTTTTCCTCACAACTAGAAACTAATCACGTATTGAATAGGCTTGCCACTTCCATTTGATAACATAAAATATAAGGGTAAACACACGTTTTTTAAAGTTATTCAGCTTTTTGAAAACTTCTACGGTGCCCGGTCCATTTTTTCCTGTCACCTCCCCAGTAAGTAAAACATTTGCGTCTCTCGCACTTGTTTTGCGCGCGCACTACACCATCTGCCAGGTACATGTTTACAGTTGAATTTTAGTTTAACAAATTGACGTCAGTTTTTTTATGCGTCTGTCCTCTTACTGATGATAAATTGCGCCATAACATTGTCAAGGTGGCCATGGAACCACGAGCCGCAGGCGAGTGGTTCCGCAGTAAACTTTGACAATGTTGTGACGAAATATATCGTCAGTAAGAGGACAGACGCATAAATAAATGATGTCAATTTGTTTTTTCTTGTTTTTTTTACAATAACTAGACGCTTTGCTGCGTGTACCCAGGTAGTCGTTATACTGAGAAGCACTAGCTATATTTCAATTGAGCTAAATGTTCTCCATTTGAAGTCGTACGAAATTCAATCGAATCGATGTGCTCAAGCTATTCTGCTTTGGATTGCATTTCTTGGAATCGAATACTAGCTTACTACTCATTTGCAGGTCAGGCCAGAAATGAGTTGCGGTCTTTATGTCAGCCTATAAACGTTTCAGTCTATTTTCCTTAGCCTTTGTCGTTGTTATTTGCGTTTCTCAAGCAAGCGAGACATTTTGAATTTCAGAGTTATGGCGGTGCGTGACGTAGACCTACGAACACGTTTGTTAAAAGACATATACTTATCTCGTGATTTTTAGCCCATTCAGAAGTTAACTCATTAAGAGTGAATGCCTATAAAAATGGACCTAAATCGCCTATCAGTGGCACAAGTCGAAAAATTGATTTCGCTTGTATTTTGTCCATAGATAGGTCCT